TTTCATGTTAACATCCAAACAGAGCAATATTTTTGCTACTTATTAAATGGACAGCTAGCCTGTGCTAATTCAAGTTCCTTTTTTTTTTTTCCAGAAAGTTATGAGAAAAATATAAACATGCACTACTACAGAAACAACACTCTAATCTGTCTTGCTTTTGAAATTCAGCTTTCACACTATAGTCTCTCCTAACTCACATCATGTTTATCTATCAGTCAACATTTTAGAGAAACAGACATTTGCACTTTACCATTCTTTGACTCCCTAAAAATTACTTCTTTTAAAATATATCTTCAGTCTTTCTTATTGCTACAACCAGCCTTCTAGGATAGTAAATAATAGTAGTTGTTCATCTTTTCTATTATAGGGGTATAGTCACTATTCCATCAAGGAAGCAACTGACAAATTTTAGAGTTTAGTTAAGAGTAAAATCAAACGTATGTCATTTACATTGTATGATGCCCATCATGGCACTCAACTTTGTCAAATCAGAAGAGTGAAACTTCCTCATTTTAAAGAATGAGTTGAAGCTTTTTGAGATGAAACTTCATGAAAGACAGTTAAGTGGTTTTGTTCATGCTAAGTTCTTACTAAAGCTTCAAGCTCCTTTTCTAATTGTAAAATTCCTTGGGAGGGTGGAGAAAAGCATCAAGATTTACATTGAAATATTTTGGTAACAACAGTGAAGATCAGAAAATATTCTGCAGAGTTTTTAAGGTGTCCTCTCATCCTTGTCTTTCAGATGAAATTCAAAGCACCTTTTTAGAACCTGAGAATGCTACAGACATCACCTTTCTAGTGTATATCAGTACAGAGAGTAAGGCCAGTATAACCTCCACAGTAAATAATAATAGTAAAAAGTAAATAATATATAAACTAAATATATCAACAATAATATATAATATATAAAATAAATAAATAGTAAAATGTAAATAATACAGTAAATCTATGCAAACATAATTAGATGTGTCCAGAAATCTCAGCAAACTTAGAGTAGGACAGACAGTTGCACTACTAAATAAATTTTATATTCTCTTGCTCAAGAAAGTCACTGAACCAGTACTGAACAAACAACCAAGATTAAAAATGAAGGTACTGTCCTCTTGAGAAAACTTTAGGCATCATAACAGATAAACTTATTTCATCTTTTTTTGCTAGCATTTTCTATCCAGGAACAAGTAATCCTCCCTGCCCTTCTAGATACAGATTTTTCTATTAATTTTTCCAACCAGAATAAGTGGAAAATTTTCCTTCCTGTATCTACGTAACAGTGAAAAGGAGGCAAGAAACTAAGGGAAAGAGGTGGGCCAACTGGCAAGATAATAACCAAATAAATCAGAAAATGTCATAGTTTTATATAGTGAGAACGTTGGATAATTTGAAGTAGCTGAATAGAAACCAATCTTAGTAGTTGCTTTAAAGATAAAATTCACACTATATTAGCTACCCAAGAAAAGTGATGGTCTTGTCCTAATTTTCTGCAATCTGAACTTTCTTCACCTGCTTAAATTTCTCACTTAGAGAAATAATTATCATTCTTGTCCAACCCTGGGAAAATCGTTCATACTTTTGCTTCTCATCTTTTTTACTGACAACAAAGTAGCTACTCTAAGATCAAAGAAGTGTTGTGCATCAATAGACCATGAATTGGTAACTTTGATAAACAAGGAGAGAAAGCAGTGTACAAGAAGCTGATATATCAAACTAAGAAAAAATGGCAAGAAGGAAAGAAATGGAAAGCCAACACTTTCTCTGAAATCAATTTATTTGTTTTCCCCAAAGAATAGCATTAATTTGGAGACTGGAGTAGTTTAAAGTCTTTTGTATTAGTAGTACCACTTATCCACACAAACTTCGGCAGAATTTCAAGTTCTTAAAATAAAACAAAACAAAAAAGCACAACAACAAAACCACCACCAACAGCAGCACCACCACCAAAACCCACAAAACAAATAGCAAATAAAAACAACAACAAAATTTTATATGGTGTTGCTATATATCTAGTGTCTTCTGTGTTTATAATATATCAGGATAATTCAGATACATCCTCAGATGCTAATAAAGATGCTCAATGTATATAACAGCATAGATTTGTCATGGGTAAAACTCATCACTCCATTTGTTTGATGTGAAAGCAAAACACCAAACACCTTCCATCAAGTTTGCAGCCAGGTACAAGAAGAAAGCATGTTTTTAAGTAGGTGATCACCACTCAAAAACAGTTTCAGGAACAGAAAAGGAAAAGTTTTATCTAGTGAAAAGATTTTCTAGTACATAGTTTATTATTGAGAAGCTTACTTTTTCTTGTGTTGATGATAATTTTAGATACATTAAGATCTTTGATCTCAGCTGATGAGAGTAAACTTCATAGTAATGAATATTGAAAAAGTAAGAAATAAAGTAAAAAAAAAAAAAATACAGCTCTTAAAATGAAATGTAAAGAATCTTTAGGCTCAGATCCCATTTCAACAGATCTACCTGACTTTAAATGTCAAGAATCTTTCATAGGTATTTTTGTGATTTATTAAGAAGATGCAGGCTACAGCATATCATTAAGTCTTTTGTTGACCCTCATCACCAATTTTACACATTTTTCATCTTGTTGCTCTTTGTGGTTTTGAGCCACAATAAAATATTGTTATGTTTTAAGATGATAGGTGAAAAGTCCCCGTGTTCAACTCAGTTAAAAACTGGTTGAAAAATCTGACCTGAGATCCAACCTGTATGTAGTGTTCTTGGACCTCACATCCTCTTGTTTTCTTAATTTGGATGAAATACATACAAATTAAGCTTTAAATGGAAATACATTTGCAAACTCAAGTAGAAAAGCAGCTTGTGCCATTCTGTAATCACTTCTCAGTCTGTATGGTATTACTGCTATTGAAATAGATGGCAAGAATACAACATCAAGACTCTGCTCATGATTAACTTTTTATTCTTCCTGTAACTTGCTATAAACCTCAAATGAACTTGCAGGTTGGCAATAGCATGGTAAGAGCTAGGTGCCAAACCATATGAGACATTTTTTCCTAACTGAATCACCTTCCCTGGATACGGTTTCCCTCTCCCCTCCTTTTTTCTCCCTCTGTTCCTCAATGGCTGAACAGTTGGATGTTTCAGTTATATTGGGGACTCAAGTACTTCAAAAGGCCTTGATCCTGGATTAAAATACTCCATCAAGATTTTTCTGCCTTTCATCTCTAGTCTTGCTCTTTCTGCTGAGAAACACTGTTGAAAACGTAGCTGTTATTGCAATCAGCCTGTCAGACAAGACCCAGACTAGGCTCATCCACACATCTTCCAGGGGTCCAGAAGAGCAGTCGTGTCACAGAGTAACCACGCATCTTCAGTCACAGTTCTTTGTTCCACGTTAGCAGGTAACACTGGAGGTTCAATGTCCAAAGAGTGAGTCTGGTTGGCCTCCTGGTCTTGCAGGAAGCTTGGAAGCTTTTCATCTCAGCATTGTGAGCCACATGTGTCATCCAGAACAGCAGCTTTCCTCAGATTTTGTGGAAGTACTCAGTGAAAAATCCAAAAGTCACTACTAAAGGCCATATTTCACACATATTTTAAATACCTACAAAGAGTCAGCCCAGTATAGGACTTGGAGATAAAAGACGGAAGAGGTTTTCCACAAAGAGATAGCTTTAAGACAACGAAACAAGAGATTCTCCCACTAAGTTCTTTCAGAGAGTAGTCAACCCAGGTACAAATAAGATGAATGGGAGTTCAACTTTGTTAAAATCCCACAGGTCTACTGCCAACATTGCCCCCTACTACACTATTTGGGGATCATCTCTGCCCTCTGACTAATGAAAACAAGCGGGTGCCTTCAGGCTTCGTTTTTCAGGGCTTTTCTATTTGTTAGGAGAAAGGAACATGGTTTGATCAAATCACCTCCTTGTTAACATGCTTTCATTCATGTGTTGAACTCATTCCCATTACACCCAGCAGGTGAAAAATGACCGCTCTTGCACAGCAGCATGATGTGAAATCTCAGTAGCATACTGAAACAGCTAGACATTTCAATTCTTTACTGATAAATTTGTTCCTTTGAAAATGTGGAACATACTTCAAAAATATCAATGTGATGCCTCAGTGAACATCCCTTTATTGAAAACCAGAGCAACAATACAATTCTGGTCACAAACAAATGGCCTGACAAAGTCCAAATACAGACAGTCAAGGTCCTGTTCTGCCTTCACATTCACAAGACTGATTATAGTGGAACTGGCCCCCCATGCACCTCAGGGAATAATTGGCCTTTAAATTATAAAACCTTTAGGTCTCTTTTGTTCTGATGATAAAAGCACTCCTCTTTTTCCGCTACCAACCCAATTTTCTATCTATATACCGCTCTTGAACCTGATGACATTTTGCTCAGAGAGGGGAATAGCTCTATCTGCATTACTAGAAATGGGGGAAAAAAGTGAAATATCAAAAAATAAATGGACTCACTGAAAGTTAGTAGCAGTTGCAAAAAATACTAACTCTCAGACATCCAGTCCACTGTGATATAGCTATTCAAGCCATTCAGAAGGTTGCTAGGTACACTGAAGATTGTAAACTGATGATACAGAAAGAAAAGGGAAAAAAAAACCAACACTGTGAATGAAAACTGAAGTTTGAGAAAGTGTTAGGTTATCTAAGGAATGACATAAAGACATGACTGGTGACAGGTCTGAGCAACAGCAAAAAAAAAAATAAAAATGAAGAGAAGATAACAGAAGGTAAGAGAAGGAATACTTCAGATATGAAGAAACGCTTCAGATAGCACCATTAAATAACAGGGCAAGAAGTTTGTTCTGCAAAACCAAGCACTTGTAAATCAAGAGAAGATGCGTATCAGAATTCAGGAGAGGTATGACTGTCAACTTGAATTTTTAGGAAGTAAAAACTGGAAAATGCTTCAAGTTGCTATAGCGGTTTTATAAACAATCAACCATTATTTGCATTGAGGATTCAAAATTAGCACAGAAATTAGCTGTTACAGCTGTCCCTTTTTTTTTTTTTTCATTTTGTTTATGATTCTTTCTTCAGAGTTTCACATGTGCAAATGCCATAATTACTTACTAAATCCAAGGCACAACATCATTTCCTAGTTTCCCTGAAGTCCAAAACCTAGTACTGGAGTACATTCAAGAGGCTGTTCAATAGCCTTAGGTTAGATGACTGGCCAATACTTTTCACACATCCTAAGACCCCCATCGCTTGACCAAAGGCTTGGTCAAGAAAGTGCTTCTGACATCTGGTGTTGAGCTTCACATCTTGCAGGGCTTGTGAGATGTCTACTGGCATCCTGCTCCTGTAACCCCCATGTTTCAGGGGGTCCAAGAGATGGCTGCAGCCCCAATCAGTCTCACACCAGATGGAGGCCATGCCCTCTCTCTGTTCTGACCATCAGAGGCAGCTGCATTGCATGACCCACCCTGAGTTCAAGTTCCTCATCTGCAGCCATGGCTAGAGGGAACTGATTATTCTTCTCCAGAAAAAAAAAAATAAAAAAAATAATAAAAATGAAATCCAAAGGATTTTTCTCCTTTGAAGAGGTTTCTGGATCCTCTTCAAATCGGTGAGTCTTTTGTGAATAGGCCTTTCACCATAGGCTCAGGCACTCTGAAAAACAGAAAATAGATGAAAATAGATGAAAATAGATGTCACTTTGTATGGGATATTAATAATGTAATTTCTAGGCTTTTAAGATTATGAAGACTTCAGCCATACAGAATGTTTATTACATTACTATTCCCTATTAATTTACATACACAAACTTAAAGAAATTTAATTACACTTGCATATATGGTTATATCTAAAAAAAAAAAAAAAAGTAATTCCTGCTTGAATAGTCCCCTTATAAACTTAAGAATGTAGAATAATTATGAATATTGTATGTATGAATACATGTGATGTATAAAATACTGCTTGACGGAAAAATTACAGGAACATTACAGATACAGTTGAATTCAGATCCATGCTATTAGTAAGGAGTCTACGTCTGCACAGGTGACTCTGGAATGAATAACAAATTTTAAATGGCAGCAAACTAGACACAAAATTAAAAGCTTTATAACTGACACTTGTGAAAATATAGTTATTCACAGAATAAGAGTTAAATGGATTTAGAAGTGTGGGTTAAGTAAACAGCAATTTAAAAAGTGTAATGCAAAAGAATATATTTTGTATTTCTTTTTAAATTTCATTACCATCCTACTTCACAAAGATAGGCTCCTTTGATGACCATCTATGCAAAAATTTAGCTTCAAATAATACCTGAAAGATTACGACACAATAATATTCAATGATATTTTAAATGTGTTTTGGACTGTTTCTGACTCCCGCAATAATGAAACCAAGCTTATATCACATTGCAAACTTGAACCAAATTGTTTGAATGCAGGAACTAGGTTATGGCTGCCATTAATTTCTAATTCTGCAAGCAAAATACAACAGTGAGTGCCAACAGAAACTATAGATTTTATGGAATTATAATTTTAAGGATTAAAAAATAAAAACCAGTTGACACTATTGCACTTATTGGTCTAAGAGTGGTAAAGGTATTCTGTTTTCTTGTTGTTACCAGTAAAAAGAATAATATAAGTTTGTCCTTTAGCATGAAAACAATTTTCAGAATTATCCTTAAGAAAATTGGATGTGAATGAATAAGCAGAAATGAACAACAACAAAAAAAAGATAAATTGAAAAGGAACACCTTCTAAAGCTGTGCTGCTAGTTTCATAATAGAATTCTCCAGTTATTAGTTGCTCTATCACAATATATGTTCCTGTTTCAACCACAAAATTTAACACATTAATAATAACAAATAATCAATGTAACAACACCAGCAATTGGCTATCTGTAAAGTTCAACACTTAATCATAATTAAGGCAGGAGAAGCTGACATATCCAAGTGTAAGAAATCATATAAAAACAATGCAGGAAGTAACCAATCACCCTTAAATCATCAAATTGGTCAAGTCCAGCATTGGTTTCAATTACTTGCATTTTAGTTCACTTGAGAGAAATAATTAATTCCCAATGTGTACCTTTTCCAGTTATCATATGAAGATTTAAGCTAAATTCATAAATGCAATGATAGCTTACTTATATTAAACTACATGAAATACAAAATAAGGAAGAGTGTTTGTGCAGATAACCACTTGGGTGTCACACATGAAACATATCGATAACATAAAAATTAAAATATCATTAAAAATGTTTTTTCTTTCCCATGAAATATTATGCTGCAATCAGAGCAGCCATTCTTGGTTGGTAGATGGGTATAAAGAAAATAGAGAATTTACAGCTTTGGATACAATTTCTTTTCCTAGGGCACCAGGTGCTTTAAATGCCACCAGAAGGATGCTCTAGGCAGTGCCATACTGTCCAACATGGCTTGGCATAGATTTGCTCAAAGCCTTTGTGTCTTTGCAGACTTTGATTAACGGCCAGTGTTAGAACTCCTATGGGTTTTTACTTGATCCAATGTAGCATAGGGATTTTTTTTTTCATCACAGCTGCCAAAAATATGCCAGTTAAGATAATTACATTTCAATTTAAATTGGTAATTTAATGGAAAATTTTAAACCAGGATGTAGGGCAGGATACATACTTCCAGTTCTATCCCACAACAATAGATTTTGTCTGTTGCAGATGATTTAACACCCCAGTGCCATATTTTTGGCTGTTTGAGAGACCAGACAGTTTTAGGACTCTCCATAGTTTTGAAGGATTGTCTGTGCAATCTATTTTAAGCCTTTTCTTGATTTTAAAACTGTCGCACTAATACCTCTTCACATCAAACATTGTTCATCTAAGGAAGCAGAGAAACCACAGGATCTGCTTTTAGGGCTTTTATCTTTGTTTGTGTGAACATATTAGTTTCACCTGTCTATTACCATTTCTTTAACTTTACGAGTCACAATAAATGTAAGAATCAAATTCTTCTTAATATTTGCTCCCGTTTGGGAGGACAAGTAGTAGACCCCTAAATATTCTGTCTGCCACTTCTCTGTTGTTTTCATTATTTGTTTCAGAGCTGACACAGAAGCCTGGCAGTCGCAACATACTGTAAGGGGAATCATTTTCCTTTGTTTAGAGTGCAGTGTGTACCGTCATTTACATAATAAAATCCTCACACAAATAACAGATGGTGAAGAGGCACTCATGTTGCCACATGTTGGAAGCATGATACAGTTCCTCAGTGAACTCATTTCTTTTACTTTTGCCTACAGATGTCTACCAGCTATTAAACCTTGGGGGTTAGTCAGCTGGTGAAAGGTTTAAAGACAAAAAAAATCTGCCTCCAGAATTTTTATGCTTCCAGGAGAAACAAATGTTATACCCTGATAGAAATTCTCAATCCATTGAAAATGTTTTTCACTGCCATGAAAAGTAAATAAAAATCTCCATATTTTGGGCTAAAATGTTTTGCTATGGAAGATAGTAAATACAATTATCCCTCCCAGTCCAAGATTTTTTTTTTAAATTATTATTATTTTTATTTTATTTTATTTTAGAATACTTTTCCAAGGAGAAATTGGGAAAAGAGGAAGCTGTATATTAGCAACATCAGTTCTTGGATGCATTGCCATTAATTCTATGTGCAAATTAAGTGCCAAAAAACAAACGTCTGTCACATAGAATAACAGCCTGTGTACAGTGCAATGAAATAAGATCACACTACACTCCCTAATTAGAGCTAATGGATCTGCTTCTTATTCTACTTACACCAATTTTATGATCATGTAATCTGTGCTGCCATCTCCAGTGGAGCTTCTCTTGAATAAGAATCAGTCCCATGGATGACATAGAGACATTTAAATCAGTGGTCAGTTAAGTCTAAGTATTTTTCCTTAGATGCACATTTGTGTACTGCTTTCAGAACTGAGCTTTGCTGCAGCTTCAATGCAGGCACTGGGATTTGAGAGACAGGTAAAATATGGGTCTGTTTTATCATTTCTGTTTTATCTGAAACATGGCATTTTGTACAGCTGTGTGTATAAAGCAAACAATAACCTAGGTCCTTTAGCACATGCAGAAACAGAAAGAAGGAATTTGATGTGATGTTAAATATAGCACAGCTGTTCTCATTGTTTTAACATATTAATGTTTATGAATGCATTTAGTAGACCTACCTCCAGCTCATGTACCTTCTGCATGGTAAAAATTAAGCCCATGAACTTCAGAAATCTGGTCTTCAGTTCAACAATGTGTGCTTTTACCTGTTTACCAACTCTACTGATTGGAAGAGCAGCCTCTGTTTCATTAGCACCAAGACAGTGAATCTTCCATCTAATTATAAGTTCCCTGTATGAGCATGCCCTGGGCTCATGCTGCAGTGAAAACCAGAGGAATGTCCTGTCTGAATGGGAACACTGGAGGACCCTCCCTCCCTCCCCCTCTGCCCCCCAAAGGCCAGCTCTGTGTGGGGAAGGGTGGGCATGAGCAGGAGATTAGTCTTGCTTGTGTGTACAGTGATATCCACCTAGCACCTTGAAACGTCAGGATGACCCTTTATCCTGTCCCTATTTTCTTTAGATACCCACATGGCAAACATCCCTATATCACCAACTCTGAAGCTGCTGAAGGACAAAGCAGAGGTGGCATATTTAAAACGCTCCTAGACAAGAAACTCTCCTACTGCAGCTTCCCGTTCCACTCTTGTCCTTTGTATTTAGCAGTGCTCCTCAAATATGACTAGATCATAAATTTATCTATTTTGTGTCTGGCAAATATCTATCTAACAAAGCTGTTAACTGAGTAATTGAGTAACACTTTTTATTTCTTCTTTTTTTTTCCCTTTTTTTTTTTTTTTTTCAGGAAAGGAGTAAAGGAACTCCTTTTCATGTAAAGGAGCCTCTCCCCTTATTCAGAAACTCCCATATTAAAAGCAACTTGTTATTTTTCAGATATCTTGGAAAAACACATCAGACTTCTGCATTTCAAAACCATCGTGCCCCATAAGAATATTCTATATTAATGTACCAGCATTAACCAATTAATTTGAAGTCACTTGAATCTCATGTCGTAACATAAAGGCAAATAAAGCATATTCAGAACTGCACACTTAAAAACCTGCATAATGATACAGATAACAAATGGAGAATAAATTTACTTAATATATTTTACATCAAGGTCAAATCCAAAAGGCTTCTCTCTCTCTAGAGATGCTTTAATGATTATGTCACCAGGAACGTAGTACTCCTTATCCAGTTTGTGTATCTTAAGGTTATATTTACAGAAGGGAATATTATATTTCACTTATTTCAGTTAGGAAGACTGTGTCCTTTTCTCAACTTTCTCCAAATTTTCTCCATTCCCTAAATCAAACAAACCCAGAACTCAAAGATTGAAAAGAACTGAAAAATATCATCTGGGGGTTTTCTTTAGGGAACTTGAAATAAGAATTCAATTACTTTCCACATGGGAATCTACATCTGACTGACAATAAAATACATTATTTTAATTCTTGCTTGTTCTGCATTAATTAGAGTTCCACGGGTACATCTATCCATCATGTATTTTACAAGCAACAAGTTCAGTTCTGAAGAACAATATGGTTATGAGATCACTAATTTCCATCAAACAAAATATAATGGGACTAAAATGCAGATGCAAAACATATATATGTGCTTCTCAGAACATAACTAACCTACATGTTTAAATCAAAGCTCTGTTACAACTCTAGCCAGATAGAAATATTATGCTTGAATAATTAAAACGAAAAGTGACCCAAATTTATGATTGATGATTTTGGACTTGTCCAGCTACAGATAAAATCAATATCAGTAGTTTGTTCAAAGAAATTTTTAGAATTTACCTAAATGTTATGCAGAAAACTGAAACATCATAGTCACAACTGAGCAGCTGAGAACAATATATATCTTGTGTTAACATTGACATACAACATTGATTGAGAAATCATATGTATATGTACCCTGCTGTAAATAAGATCTCTTTCTCTTTTGCATTAAACCTAAGATACATAAAAGAATGACAACTCTAAAGAACAGAGTACAAACATATCATACTTCCCCAAAGCTCACTCAGGATTTAAACAGAACTTTGAGGGTTTTAGGAAAATGGCAGAAGAAGGTGTTTGAAGCAACAGTAATGAGTGAATTCTACACAAAATAGGTCAACTGTTTAGATAAATATTTTGATCTGAAAAGGAGCTGGTTCAAGCAGCTGTAAAATTTGCATTCATTCTCATTTTTATTATTCAGTAACACTATTAATTATATTTTTCCATATTATTTTGCATTTCTAGTTCTAGACATGCCTAGACAAGGATGAAAATTAGACAAAATTTTCTCTTGAAAGATTATCTGAATTATAGAAATTAGCATGCTTACATAGGACAGTTTCCAGTTCACATTACAGACTTCCTCCACTAGCAGTAGGAAGTGCATTGTCCTGCACCCCATGACCAAGTCTGCATGTCACATTAACTCTTTGCTAATGAAAAACCTATTACTTTATAAGCCATTACTTTATAAGCCATTGGACCCTTTGTCCTTTTTTTTGTCCCTTCTTTAGAATCTCCACAAGACTTACGTTTTACTGCAGAAAGTCTATTTATTTATTTTTTAAAATAGATGCCCAAAGTTCTCATTACCTTCATTAAAGAGGTATACTTAATAATAATACTGTCTCAGAAAAATAAAAGCTGCTCATTCCTCTCAATTTTCATGGTTTTCCTATCAACACCCTGAATTCAAACTCAGTTGCTTTTCTTTATAGATACGGATTTCTTTCTAGATACTCACATCCTGTCAAGGACTCCTCTGCTTTAGTATGTCTCTGACAACATAGAGCAACTAATAACTATTTTGTTATAATCCATTCCTACTTTTTTTTTTCCAAAGTTTTTTTTTTTTCAAAAAATTTTTTTTCAACTTTCCACCACAGGGATCTCTTCTTAAAAGCAGCTTTTTCTCCCTAGCTTTATTCTTAATATTTCTAGTTCTATGTAAGGATTTTCTTTGCATAAAATTCTGTACTACTGTTCTATGTGTTACAGAATAAAACAATTTTAAATGCTAGCTTATTAGAAACATAGCTGCACTGATGTGCCTTTTAGAATTTCCTTTCTTTTGAGATCAACATGTGTTTTATACTTGTATTTGTATATGGTTTAAAAGCCTACAGCGCCAGTAAAGCACAGACCACCTAAAATGACTCCATCTTGGTTGTCTTTTCAGTTTAGCTTTTATTTTCTGATTATTCTTGTCCAGAAGACAGCACATACTCTTGGATCCTTCCCAAAGCTTGCACTCTCAGAACTCTCGCACCCTTCCCAAAGCTTGTACTCCAGAATACTCTGAAATAGCAGCAGCAGCTCCCTAAGAGCAGGGAATAGTCTCAGTTCACAATAAATCATGATAATTTGTGTTTATGTTTAATGTTTCTTATAAGCTAATTATGAAATCCACAAATGCAAGTGATGGCAGGGTGCAATAAGCCAATGGATTTTTATCTATTTATTTTGGTCTTACAAAATTTGGAAATGTTAAAGGAAAAAAAAAATCTCACTACTATTTGACCTATAAACAGCTCATTTATCCACTATAACTTTTGGCTCATTGATTAAATGTCTGCTCTTTTTTTTTTTTTTTTTTTTTTTTTTTTTTTTTTTTTTTGTACTAACTAATAAGCAGCTCTTCAGCTTTTCACTCCAGCTATAGAAGACTCCTAGAGACATTTGCTAAAGACACAGGGGAAAACACGGAAAATAGGAGGAAAGTGCAAGCACTCAGGGAAAAAAGAAATCATGAAAAGATGTTCCAAATTTAATTCCTTTTCGCTTTGCTTGACTGTTATCCATTGACACTTGTGTCTGAGTAGCAGCAATATCCTAACAAAGTAGTCTTCATGCTAGCAAAACAGAGTACCTATCATAGTACCTAAAGACTATGTAAAAGCGGTAGATTTCTACTCTTTTTTAGTTCTAAAACACTTTGGATAGATCAGATATTCAACTCAGACATCCAGAAAACAGTGCAAAACCATTACGTATACTTTATTGCCTACTTTTTCTTTCTAATTTTAATACCTTTATCTCTCATTGCTGACCAATTATTTGAATAGCATCTTCTAATCTATCAAGTAACTTGCAAGTCAATTTTCACACAAATATAAAATGATTGAGTGAAATTCTTAGTCTTTTGTAAAACAGCAACAACAATAAAAAGCTGAATAACAGGAAATTGTTTATTCAGAGTGCTTTGAAAAACAAAACTAAACAAAACATTCCAGTATTTATGTTTACAATTCAATATTAGCACTTTCATCTTAGCTGATTCTGTTTTGTAGTCTTAAATGAGAAAGCAGAATGAGACTGTTTCTCTATTTAAAGTTACCCTAATGTAATGTCCTGAATTAGTAACATTATTGAATATAGAGTTATTGTTCTTGTCCGTCCTTTTAAATCTTGAGAATTACTAACAACCACTAATTTCTACCAACCCACTAAAAAATTTAGGATGGCCAGACTGTCAGTGAAACAGGTCATTCAACTTTCACCCATGCTCAAAATCTTTCTTGTTCAGCTCTCTTTAAAACACAGAAATACCTGAAGCAAAACTAAATCAAAGTCTATGCTTGACTGCTCCTGAAGGCATTCTCCCAGGAGACCAGGATCTAGTCCCATTTTAGTGAATGCATGCAAAGAAAAAACTTTAAAATGGGAGATCAGATAGCTACTGCCAGCAGACACCTTCACACTCTCACAGGCATAGAAGATCAAAGTATAAAATTGATCCAGGGAAGAAAGAGTTTAAGAAAGAGTTTAAATTGTGATCCTTCACTTCTTAGCTGTTGGCTAGGCTATAAATTGAATCTAAATTATAAGTTAGGAAAAAACAATCAGTATCTTATCTATTGCCACAAACAATTATAAAAGACTAACTGGAGTAAATAGATGGAGACAGTAGTAGGTGGGTGCATGCATCTTACAGAAAGCCTTAACACTGAGCAGACTCTAGGCATTGTCACCCCAAATCTAAACTGTTTACTATAGTAGCTTTATGGCTCTATTCCTCTCTAATTCCTCTTCAAGTTGTCAAAAAACTAGTGTAGAGAATTAAAACTTGACATGCAACAGTATGATCTTTCCAGTTAACAATGTCTGTCTGCATATTAAACAGTTACATGCTGCTGAAATGCAACCTATTCTTACCTCCTGTTTCCAGCACAGTTCAGTGTAAATGATATGGCTGGGGCCTAAGCTTGGCTTACAGTTTACTTTCAAGTCTATGACAGTACTAAATCAGAGTACGATTATTTTACCTGTGTTTCCTTCAGTGAGCATAATCCCAGCATGAGCTGACCCTCAACTGACTTGTGTTGAGTGAGGTATGTGGACAATCATAATCCAGGGTCCCTGGGAATACACATGGTTCTGCAGCAGCTCAACTTCAAGGAGAGACAACAGTTCCCAATTAAAACATATCTCTAAATTGCCATTTGAATGACACTCAAAAGTACACATTACTAAAGCTTACAAGAGATTTAGTTAGATGTTCATATACTGGTTTTGGTGCCCACTTTCCAGATATTTACAGAAGTTGTACTGATGCCTCACCTTCTGAGACAATAGGTTGGGATGATAATGAGCACACATTCAGCTAAACTGACTTTTAGCCTCCCAATATCCCCTTTTAGGCCTCCCAGAATCCCCTTCCACTAGATGAATCCTCAGGTTTAAACATCCAGCACTCACATTGGACTAGCGTCATTGTGTCAAAAGAATTGAAACAGGTATTGAGCTGTTTCTGCATACCAAAAGAAAATTAAACAGATAATAACCAGTTCAATCTAATTATAAGCATAATAATTTTACACAGCAACACCATAGCAGAAAGCAAAAACTTTTGTGGTCTCTTCAGGAGACTTCTAATGATACAAAAACAAACAAACAAACAAAACCAAACAACAACAACAACAAAAGAGATAAGAAAATGCAAAAGTTTACAAATCTGATAGAACCATACCCCTGCTGCTCCATGGATAGATATGACCTATTTAATAAGGCAGCGTTCTAGGTCATAAAGGAGACTTTGGTTCAAATTCCAGCTTTGTTAGGGCTGTAATGCACAACCTTGAGTAAACTGTGCCTGTTTGTTGGTTTTAAAAGATAGAGATCTTTGAAAGGGATTTTTGTTGCTCTATTTTACTCTATAAAACACTGAGATCTGAAGATACAAGAGGTAGGTATTATTATGCTTCACAATTTTATCTTGACTAGCTTAAAATGCATTCTGCCATGCCAGTGGCACTGCTATTTTGTTGTTTATCAAGCACATTCTCGTCATCCAACAACAGATGTACTTTCTGGGTAGTCTTCAAGACTATTGTACAGAGCACTTGAGACTATTGTGTTTTAATTTATTTCATTTGTTGCTTATTGTCTTTAAGCATTTAATCTTCAGGGATTTGGATAAACTATGACCATTAAAATATTAAAGAGTAATATGTAGTTTCTGTTTTCCGTTTAAGCTAACTTTTACACAAATAAATCTCAAAGGATTGAATATATGTTCTCCACTTTTCTGATTCTCTCCCCACAAATGCTGCTTTCTGTCTGGGCAAAGTGTCCCCCCCCAGTGGAACAATTACAATAGCCAAATGTTGCTTTACCTATGGATTATGTTCGCCTTGCTCTTAGAATTAGGAGCATAATGATTTCCTTACCTTCCTGTTTGTCTAAATTCTGTCATCAACTTCACATAAACAAGTCAGGCAGTCTTTTTTGAGACTAAGGAGATGATGACAAGAAGAAAGCAGAGAGAATGACATTTGCAGAAAATATAACCTATACCCCAAAAAAAACAGCAAATTTTACCAGTCTACATTCCAAAGAGACCCAAACTGCTAAAATAAACTTAATATATCAAAAGCATTTTTAATTCAGGTCATGACCTTTTTTTCTGTTCCCCTTCCTTCCCATCCCCTTTTTACTGTTATTGAAGCCACAGCATTTCAGAAATGACATATTTTTAAGTTTTTAAATTGACTGAGATTTAGAAGACTGAAGTTGAAGCCAATCACAATTTGGAAAGAAAAATCCTGCAATCAGCTGAAGCAGAAGGAAATGAAGGGATTGCAAAACTGCTTCAAAATAGAGTCATAAAGTTACTACAGCAGAGACTTTCAAAACTGTGAAGTTGCATGTATGCAACTTCCATTACATTTTATAGGCACTGTATATCTGTGTTGTCTAAGTTGCTCTGAAAAACCTCAGTCTGCATGCCTAATTCCTAATAACATTGCACTTCAAATTTATTGCTTAATTTAGACTCTGCCCACTCAAACATTCTTCTCAAATTCTGAAGCTATTTTGAATAGCTTCAAAAACAAACCTTAACAAAAAAAAAATCCCATTTCAGAAACAATTCCATCTTTTACATAATTATTAAGCATAGAACCAGAGAGCTTAGCTCTCTTAGTGTATTGTAACATATTGGGTGTATAAGTAGTTTTTATTCAGTTGGAAGCAGGCTAAGAGTCAGCCTGGGAATATTTAGGTAAGCCCAAGAAGCAACACTGGAAAAGAAACAAAGAAATCTAACCTGTTCCTATTAATCACAATTATTGTGATTGACACACACACTCAACTTAAAAAGATTTGAGATGCTTGAAAGATGTAATTATCTACAATTCACCCTTCATAACTGGCATTTTCCAGAATGTCAATATGTAAATAAAGGAAAAAGAAGGAGAAGGAGAAGGAGAAGGAGAAGGAGAAGGAGAAGGAGAAGGAGAAGGAGAAGGAGAAGGAGAAGGAGAAGGAGAAGGAGAAGGAGAAGGAGACGGAGACGGAGACGGAGAAGGAGAAGGAGAAGGAGACGGAGAAGGAGAAGGAGAAGGAGAAGGAGAAGGAGAAGGAGAAGGAGAAGGAGAAGGAGAAGGAGAAGGAGAAGGAGAAGGAGAAGGAGAAGGAGAAGGAGAAGGAGACGGAGACGGAGAAGGAGAAGGAGAAGGAGAGGAAGGGAAAGGGAAAGGGAAAGGGAAAGGGAAAGGGAAAGGGAAAGGGAAAGGGAAAGGGAAAGGGAAAGGGAAAGGGAAAGGGAAAGGGAAAGAAATGATACCTTCCACATCCCCAAGTTTAACATGTACTAATAGAGATCAATTGGTTCCCTCCCTGAACCTCTAACACTGAACTAATGTTTATTTCAGCTAGATTGTATTTCTTGGGGTAAATTTCAGGTACATGTAATTGATACTCTACATTTATTGTTCTGCCTGAGGGTTTAAATGGCCACTAAAGCTAGCTAAAACCTAAAAAGACAACCTTTCCAGTAGGGCCAATCAAGTTTCTTCTCCCTACAGTCAGTTCCAAAGTGCAGAAGCATCCTTTAGCAAAGAATCAAGAACTTTTGAGTGTATTACAAAAATGTGCTGCTTGGTTCTGCCAGCACTGCACAAACCAGATTCCCACGACCCATCATGAGAGCATGGTTCTGTAGTACAGACTGAAACATTCCACAATATCCTTTCCTCCCCCCCCCCCCCCCCCCCCCCCCAGTACATATAACAAGACACACCAACTAATGAAAAAATAAATGGTTAGATCATAAAATGGCTTGGGTTGACAGGGACCTTAAATATCATCTAATTCCAGATCCTCCTGCCATAGGTAGGGATGCCACCAACTAGATCAAGTTGGCCAAAGAGTCATCCAACCTGGTCTTGAACACCTCCAAGCAATTACTTACTCTTGTCCTACTTTTTCTTACTCTACAAGTTTTTTTATTGGGTCTTACTCTTCTCTTTTGCTTTTCAGATTTGCTTGGCTTAAGTGTTCTCAACAACATTTGGATAAACGCAGATCAAATTGATACCACAAGCACTAGACACTTCCATTGTGTGGCTCCAACTAGTATTTTGTTTATTCATTGCTCATGCCTGTGACAATGTATTCTGTTCAGATTACACCCACTTCATATATATATATATATATATTTTTTTTTTTTTCAGTTAATAGAAAGCAATTTCATATCAATTTCAGTAGCTTCAAATGATTTTTTTTTGGGGGGGGGGGGAAGTAAAAACAAAGTAACAGGGTAGAATTAAAAAAAACAGTCTGGTCTCAAAACAATACACATTGTGTGCATATATGAAGTAGAAGGATTATAATTCTAAGAGCTCAGAAACACAAAGAATGAGGGAAAAGGACTGTTATTCTACATACATAATATTCCAAATATGCTAAAGGATAAATTTCCTAACAAATGTCACTTAAATTAATGAATACTGCTTTATCCTGACACAAGCCATGTTGTCCTCAGAACCTCTCTCTCAATTTTCCCCTTCCAGACCATAGAGCATGGAGGAGAAATCAGAGAGAGGGACAAGTGGGCAGTGTCACTTTCAGTCTATCATGGAAACAACTTTATCTGGGCACAGATAAAAATAGGATAATCCAGATCTTAAATTATGAAAGCAACACTTGAAATAATAATAATAATAATAATAATAATAAAAATGTCCTGCTACCTGTATGTTTGGGAGACCAGGAAAGAAGTACTTCATATCCCATCAATCTGTTATCAGTTATGGGAATAATAACTTTATGAATACTGGGCTGAATTCATCTTCTTCACTGAAATCAAACCTTAGTGAAAAAAAAAAAAAAAAAACACAAAAAAAAAGGATACACAGGCCTTTGTGAGCACATATAGGCAAAAGGCTGATGAACAGAAAGAGGTGAGAACAAAAGAGAAGAAATATAAAAGAATTTAATTAAAAGTAGTTATTTGCAAACATCAAGTATATTTATCATTACAAGCCTTCCTTGCTTGTACTGTATGGCAGCAGCTGAATAAAATCTTCTTGGTGATGTTGGTTTGGCTTTAGCCCAGGTCTTACACTATCAAAATGTTTTATCTTTACATTTTCATTCTTCATTATTACAGGAGTTGCTGTAAGATAGTTATTTTTATGTTAATGTTCTTACTCATTCCCTCTCCCTCAAAATTCTTTTCCTTTAATCTGCTCTTAAGAAAATTTGGCAGAAAATTTTCCTCTCCATATATAGAGATAAGGAAAAGATCTCTTACCCTTTTAAACTATACTTTGGGCTTGTTAGATACAGAGGAGGAAGTGGAGAATGATGACAAAGGAAAACAAAAAGGAAGATAATGTTACAGTCTTTGCTTATTTAAAGCTATTCCAATCAGCATAAACCACAAGCATATTCTAACCTGCATTGACGATAATCATTACTTTGCCCATCTTTTACTAGTTTGGCTATTCCAAACAAATGCTTATTCAAGTCATGAATACTTAAAGCAAGATAATGTTGTTTACTTCCTTCAGTTTGGACTATTTTGTGACCATAGAGAGCTTCCTGGTAGTTTGCTTTGAACCGAGTTTTAGAGGTTCATACAAAAAATGTCGACTTAACGTGTTTCCTCTTGGTGGTGATGCAAACCAAACCTTTATTCTAGAACTAACTCTTTATTAAAGCATTTTACTATTAATATTTTTATTATTATCTATGCTTTGCTCTTGGCAGACAAACTTTCTATCTAACACAAAAGTGAAATAAGGCTGGTCGCATAGAACCTAATGATACCTATCTTACTATTTGTAGAAGGAAAAAATACACTATTTTCTTCAAATTTTCCATTTTCACAGTTACATCACCCTTGCAGGTTGTAAAGAGCAGATTACCTGTTGAACTCCTTGTGGAACAACGCCAAAACTGTTTCACAGAAATCCTAGCAAAGGGTGCTCCAGTAGTAGTTACATGTTGTCCCCTTAAGGTCCTACTTAGGTTTCTCAGTTTCATCAGTGGAAACAGATCAGGGGAAAAACGCTTCAGTCTATTTGGAAGGAGCATCGTTCACAGTATAAAAAGTATCATTTAAAGAAGTACTAAATACAACCAGCTTAAGTATATAATGCAACTAATATTAACATTAGCTTAATTGAAATTCAGAATACAAGAGTATTTATTTATTTATTTTATATAACTTATAAAACCTTTTTGATTTTTTTTTTTTTTTTTTGGGGGGTGTCAAAGTATATGGCATGGATGTGGCTGTGAGAGGTTTGACTAGATCCATGGTGAGCAGTGACTCTAAAGAGACCTAGTAGTTTGTTTCTAAACTACATAAAAGTTGCATGACCACAATGAATTACAGCATTAACAGTCAGTAGCCTGAGAGAAATCAAATTGTAGTGTTGAACCAGCTTCTAGTCTTCTAGGTCATCCCTTTGTTTCCCCCAGTTGAAACCTATTACCAAAACAGCATTAATCACAAATCTTAGAGTACTCATCAGAAAAATAAATAAGAATGGGCTTGGAAACAAATATTTTCACATTCCTACAGTTTGTGTAGTCACCTGTGTAAAGTCTGAAAGAGACAACATCTTTGCAGGAATAATCAGAAAATAGGTTTGTATTTATGTGTTTTAAATACAAAACAGAATCATCACTTCACCACTTCTCTATAATTAAACCCTTTATTAAGACACAGACCAGTTCTGCAAGCGTGAGATAAAGGTTTAGAAAGAGCTTCATAAAACCTTGTGGCAAGGCCAACACTCAGCAGTCCTGAGCAGGGCATTCCTGTTCTCCCAGAGATGGGCCATATTCTCAGCTGGGGCACAGCAACAGAGCACCTTGGGTGTGAATGAAGACTCCATGATCATGTACTGTATCAGTGTGTACTATAACTAAGATCTATCTTGACAGGGCCACTTGATGGAAGTCTGCTCTGCCAATCTGGTGCCTTTCACAGTTACTAGATATGCACCAATTTTGCTTCCAGTAAATTACGTTCACCGTTCACCATTTTTCATTGCAACATTCACCAAAAATAAACAAAATAAAAAGTTGTCTTGTACTTGTCCAAGTACTTGTCCAGTACTTGTGTCCTCTGTCAATTTCACAGCTAAAAGTCTAAGTTTTTAGACTCTTTCAGTCTTATTTCAAATGAAGCCTTGCAGGTCTTTCAACCTGAATGTTAAATTCTCCCAGGGTCAACTACAAATATTTTAATTGTAAGCCTTGGAGCTCTGTTTGCTTTTAGTCTGTAAGATTCAGTATTCAATATAAAGTCCACCCATAATCTGTTTCTCCATTCCTCAGGCTTAACCAGCTATTCCAGTAGTATCTCTTTTCTGCATACTGCCAACATCACTTTGCATCATGAACAATTCCCATTAGTATGCTCCTTATATGAAAAGTATTAATAAAATATTAAGAGAAACCTCAGGAGTGATCCTATGGAAAATTTATCTATTACCTTCTTTGTCTCCAATACCAAACCTTTTGCCAATTCATTTCTGATCTCGGATATCTGCTACTTATCCCCATTTTCTTTGATATAGTTAACTTTCTATGTGATACTATTTCAAATTAATTACAGAAGTCCACACAGACTAAAATCTCATATTTCCCTTGCCTACAAAGTCAGTTACTTAAAATCTTCATTTAATGAAAATATCAGGTTATCTAGCATGATCTTGCTTTAATAAACACGTGCTGTGATATATCCCATTTTTATATGCTGCCATATTTCAGTTATTGTTTCAATAAAAGCTCATTGAAATGACACAAATTGCTGTGGCAGAATTTGTCTGATGGATAAGCTTCAAAAAAGTAACTTCATATCTTTCAGCTCCCATCTTAAAGTGGAAATAACAATGCAGTTTCTCTGAGAAGGATGATGGAAAAACACATCTAATACAATTACTATTATCTAGTTTTTATCAGTTCTTCTTTATATTGCATACATTTCTAACCCAACTATTATTACTATGCATCACAGCCAAGTTGCAAGTGC